CGACAAGAACAATATTTTATTAAAGGATGAGGAAGAATATATAACATGGATGGTGATGTGCTACTCCTTCTCCTAGCAGAGAAACATGCAAAAGTTCCTCTAGGCAAGAAATGACAAATTAAATGCCTGTCCATTCCTGGTAATGCAAGAAAGACCAACAGCTTCTGTCTAGAAGTAAGGTGGATATAAAACATAAGAGATTAGCACAAGCTCTTCCTGCTCTGTTTGACTAGATACTCTCCATTTCTACAAAGAGATAAAAGAACAAAGGATCTCATAACACAGGATTTTTGAAGGACTGGGGGGGGTGGGGTGGAGAGAAACAAAATCTATTAGTTACAGATTTTCATTGGCCCTGGATTAGAGGCCCCATCTTCTTTGAAGGTTCTAACTCACCAAAATCAGTAAGTACTAGTGCCACAAACAAGAAGAATTAATGTAAAACTGGGTTAAAATTACGTTACTGTTTTCCAAGTAACACTCCTAACCACAGAACAGCTAATGTTCTTTTAATAATTTAGCTCTTAACATATTGTCTTCCCACTGCAGTTAAACAGAATAGGGTAAATTAACTTAAGCTCTTTGCACCTCCTGTGAAAAGAGCACGCTTAAAAACTTGTGGATTAAAGAATGCAAAACCGAAACATAACTCAGTATTTTGATTTTTAAGCTTCCTAGCTTCCAAAAATTACATTTCTGCATTTTTTTTTTTTAGTTTACAGAAGTTGTAAAAAGCATTCAAAACTAATAAAAATAATTCAACAGCGAGAGCTGGTTACACTAAGTAGACTATTCAACAGCAGCTATTTATATTTGAAAACTCAGGATTGCCCATTACGAGACAGCCTACAATAAATGAGCCATCATTGCTCAAGCTGTACTTCTCTCAACAATAAACTGAAGAAGCCAAACATAATCTCATTTTATGTCTTTAGCAGCTGACACATCCTATGGAATTTGTGGTATATACTGAGAGTAAGCAGAAATACTTTGTTTAGCTTTCAGATGCAAAGGGATACAAGTACTGATACGGAGTTTTGACCTCATGTCAGTGTACCAGGATACATAAATTGAAAGAAACAGTTTTTGATTTGAACTGATTTAGATTGTTGGCTGACTTTCATTCTTACACTAAAAGGAAATATAAATATTATTTATGCCCATAATAATGAGATAATAATGAGTTGAAATATTGCATGGGCATCAATCTTGTATGCTTTCTTGTTTTGAGATTCAGATTACAAAAATTACGATTTTTTTAAAATAAATCAAACCACACCTTCAGATGTGATTGATGTTATTGTTGCTTACAAATAGCTATTTATATCAAGCAAAATACAATCAGTAGCCATCTACCTTCTATATGAAAACAGGCTGTTTTCCTCATGTGAATTTGAGATGAGAATGTTGGTAGTCAGGAAGGGTTACACTTGGCAGAGAAAGAAAGGAAGAAAACACATGAAAACTGAAAGATTAAATGCCCATTTTATCAAAGGCCTTTAACACGCAGGCTGAAGGAAGCAGAGTTTATAAGCAGTGTATACGAGGAATCTCGAAAAGAAGCTGCCTGCAAATTTGATATTTGACAACTAAATCAGAGATTATCACTGCTCTATTATTAATACGTTGCATAATTATTCACAATAAGCTTCACATTGCTGGAGTCACAAAAGTCTTAAAATGGAAAAAAATTAATATGCATAATCAATCAGCTGCCCCTCTTGGTACTCATTCAGCCAAAACCTGATAGAAAGAAGACATGACTTTAGAATAACCACTATTTTACCCGTCCTAACAATCTGAACAGTAATTTATTCATGAAAGTGCGGTCAGTGATCTAGCTAACCTCTAAAGGCAATTCAACAATCATTTCACTTACTGGACTGAAAAAAACTTTAATTGAATTGTAGCATAAGTTCTGCAGAAAATCTACATTTTCATGTACACGCTTTACGTATTTAAAGACATCTGAGTACACTGTGTACAGTGGCACAAAAAAATGGATCTTACCACCGCAGCTGGAACTTGATGCATTTTTGCAGCCGGGGTTCCTGGGCGTGGGTAAAACTGATTAATGAACAAGCTCGGAAACCTGTACTGTTCTACAAGTTTCATTGTTTCTTGAAAATCTTCATCTGTCTCTCCTGGAAAACCACAGATGATGTCTGTAGCAATTGTTATTCCAGGCACTCTGTAAAGAAAGTAGAAAGGAACACTGAACTAAGGACGTGTACAAGTCTTGCTCCCTTAAAAGCGTGTACATAGATTCATAACTCTTCAACTTTATCTACAGAAATTGAGACCCAAAATGATCTTTGGAAAAAAAAAGAGATTTTAATACAATTGCTTGGTAATGAAAAACGCATTTGGTACTCAGCCTAGAGCACACAGAATAGAAGATAGATATTGCAGCAAATATTGGATTAGGACTGTGACAGAAGAGTGAAACCATCTGGACCAGCTTCTCCTTCGTTCGAAATCATAGGTGATCGGCAGAGCTTGTAAATCTCTTGAATTCTGATTGCTTAATCCAGAAAATTGATAACCTCTGAGACTGAACCACTAGAATTTGTAAACTACTGAATGTTTTATATTGCCCAGGGAGATTGTGGAGTCTCTCTCCTTGGAGATATTCAAAAGCCATCTGGACACTATCCTGTGTGATTGGCTCTAGGTGGCCCTGCCTGAGCAGAGGGCATTGGACAAAATGACCTCCAAGAGGTCCCTTCCAACCTCAACCCTTCTGTGATTCTGTGACATGGCCCAGAAAAATGAGCCCTACAACGAAGAGATTATGGCACCATATTTACAGAGCACTCTATGGGACCCAGGAGATATCAGGTCAGTTTTCCAAATCTGATGCTAGCTAGCTGGATGACCACTGTCCTACGAGAAACTGAAACCACAGCACTGTTTTGTATTCAGCCTGCTTGTGTAAAGTGGGAATAATGATAAATCTCTTCTGCAGAGAGGCAGGAATGTATAATGCTCAGAAGTGCTCAGTGCTCCCTACCAACACAGACAAGATTGTTTCTACAACACGGAGTTAATGCTAAACTATCGGTAACAATAATGAACTGGAGAAAATAGGATTTATGAGGAAAAGTAAGAACCCTGTAAAGATATTGGTGGTATCTGACTTAAAGCTGGCCCTGTTTCAAGTGGGGGGAATAGATGAAATGACTTCCAGAGGTCCCTTCCAACCTATATAACTCTACATTTCTTAAGTAGGCTACAGGCAAAGGAACAGCTGAGACGGATTCTTTTAGGGGTCAGTGGCAGAAAGATGACTGCCACAAGTAAAGCTCACACCTGAGTTTAAGAAGGGGTGTCCAAGACTGTCTCCAACCTAAAGAATGGCTGGAAGCCTTCTCTTCCCCTCATTAGGACAAGAGACAGCAAAACTGTAAACACAGACACATGTAATCCAAATGACATTTATAAAGTATTCGACTGGCCAAAAAGAACTATCATTTCTTATTAGACAGTACATTGCCTCAGAAAAAATAACGCTGTGGTTACAGCGGGTGAAGAAACTTGAGTTTGAATGGCTGAAAGAAAAACTTCCTTCAACGAAGAGCTCTGCTGGAACAGGAGAATGTTGGCAAGAAAGGGGAAGCAGAAAATACTGTTCTTAGTAATTTGATGAGGTGCAGTATTAGAGCATGCACAGCTTATATGTACCACAGCGGCCTTCATACAAACAGTATATGGTAGTAAATATCTTTTGTGACTTACTTTTTTTAACTTAAAATAAAGTAATTTTTTATTTAAGTATTGGCAATGAGCTTATATTAAAACAAATGTCTTGGCCTCCTTTTTACATGTGTCTGCATATATAGTTAGCTGCACAGGAATTTATTAGACAATATATTATTAGAATCTTCTTTCACCTTTTCCTTATGAAAAATCCCCACAAAAGAAACCAAATTATTTCAATTCCTTTTTGAGTTCATGAATTCAGACTCCATCATTTAAGTTAAAACATGGCATTTGAATACCAAATCGAAACCAGTATAAAACTGAACATTTTCAAGGACTTGGTCCAATAATTCTAAGTGGGAAACACAAGCTGAATATCGCACAGAACAGCAAAAATCCCCAGAGCTGTTGGCTAAACAGCCTCAGTTACCATTGCTTTCTTAAGACTGACAAACTGCAAGATAGGAAGTTCTGCCTGGTATCAAGTAACAATAAAATTTGTTAGCTTTAAGGACTGAGTGAACAGAGGAGCACTGTATTCTGCAACATGATTTTGTTCACATCGCAAATACCTTGCGTAACAGTAAGCTTATGGAAGAAAAAGTACATTACTTTATAAATCAGTATCACATAACATCAGCTGCCATTTCTCAGAACATGAACAGAACATTCATTACGTTTGACAAAACCGTTATAATGAAGTTATTTTAACCATTTTAATGACACTATTGGCAACAGTCAAAGCATTTATTAACAATGGTAGTAGTAATACCATCCCTTATAAAGGTTTGGTTGTTTCTATAGCAACATGAATTATAAGGTCCAATCAAGCTAGATACAATAAAATATGCTCTTTTTCTCCATAACACCAGTTGTCATTCAGTTAAAAGGAAATTACATATTTTAAAAATTCATAAATTCTACAAATGTCTGAACTCTATTTGGTGATAAGGTGTTAATTATCTTAGTAATTAGATTTCTTCCTGGATGGAATTATTACACACAAAGAAAAGCTAGGGTATGAAAAGAGAATAAGGACGACAGTGTATTCAGCAACAGCAATTAATTACAGTTCAATCCAGTATGACTGCCTAAAATATGACATTACATAGTGCATTTTTATATGACTGTTGATTATATTGTTTAAAAAGTAGTTTTAAAGGGGAGAAAAGCATGAGATTTCACTCAGAATAAAATCCAGTTACGGACAAAAACCAAGCTCTTACCCTTTCTGAAAGCACCGATTAACAAAAATAAGTACAATTAGTTCCAGATGCAAAACATCATTTCTTAGTGAAAAAAAGAGGGGAAAAAAAAGATATAATTGCAGAAAAATATAAAACGTATATACTTGAAAATTAAAGTGACCTTTGCTCTGACAGTCTGAAAGAAAGCAGTACAAAATTCCTTATTATGTAGATTCAGATGATGTTTAAAAAATTGTCCCAGCTATGAAACATGATGCAAAAATCATACAAGAACTAATTTCTTGTGCATCAGCCAATATTAAATTGTTTTTTGAAACGAAATGCAGTTTATCTATTCTGAAGTAAACAAAGAAAAAAAACTGCTGAACACCCCCAGTAAGCATTTTGTAACATTTATTACATAAATGCATTTACAGTAAGCCTAAAATTCAGCTGCAGAAAATGTTTTCTAGGGTCAGTAGAGAAGCTCCACAACACATTGTTCAGTGAACCAAGAATACAGAGTGGTCCTTACGAAAGATAAAACTGTTTTAAAAAAGCAGAAAGTTGCTTCCAACATACAGAGGTCTGGATGCTCCTTATAGCCTGGCTAATGGAGGTGGTCAGTCTGTTCCAATACTTCGGAGCATAAAATGACTTAAACTTTGCCAGCCGTTTTAAAGCCTCATAGTCCTGACAAACGCTGAGAAAGATTGTGTGCGATCATTTTATCTTGCAATCATAAATCTTGCAAGATTTATTCTCTGAAGACATACTATCATCTCCATTCACGCAAGTGTAGAAACCAAGAAAAAACAGAGTCCTAAGACAACTCTCAGTTGGAACATTTTACAATAAAATTGTGGAATTTCAGAAAAAGATTAATTTGAGGAATAATCAATGCCATGATAATACAGCCCTAATATTTAGGGTTCCTCAACATTCTCTCCTTTTTGTCCCTCTACCATAAATAAATCTCTCACATCTATTCAAGCAGATTCATGCTGTCATCCTGAACCAGACCAGCGATACAATCACCATCACCTTGGGCAGTTCTGACCATCCATAAAGAAGCAACTACTTCATCTTACAGTAAAGAAGTGCCCATTTTAGTGTGATGCTGTAAGGCCCAGCACACCTAGGAATAATCATGAACAAGCGCTGAGAGGACAGATATCCAAAACCTCACAGAAAGGAGGAACAACCGTGTTTGAAAGGACACAGAAGAAATGCAACATCTTACCCTCTACCTGAAGAGGAACCAAGTCAGCCTCTTGGGTCAGAGAAAAAAAGTGTTCCACCTCCCAAAGGAGTGGCTGATGCCTGGAAGTGAAGTTGTGGGCAAGTAAAGAACGTGCTGTGGGTAGATATAATTGCAGAAAAATATAAAACGTATATACTTGAAAATTAAAGTGACCTTTGCTCTGACAGTCTGAAAGAAAGCAGTACAAAATTCCTTATTATGTAGATTCAGATGATGTTTAAAAAATTGTCCCAGCTATGAAACATGATGCAAAAATCATACAAGAACTAATTTCTTGTGCATCAGCCAATATTAAATTGTTTTTTGAAACGAAATGCAGTTTATCTATTCTGAAGTAAACAAAGAAAAAAAACTGCTGAACACCCCCAGTAAGCATTTTGTAACATTTATTACATAAATGCATTTACAGTAAGCCTAAAATTCAGTTGCAGAAAATGTTTTCTAGGGTCAGTAGAGAAGCTCCACAACACATTGTTCAGTGAACCAAGAATACAGAGTGGTCCTTACGAAAGATAAAACTGTTTTAAAAAAGCAGAAAGTTGCTTCCAACATACAGAGGTCTGGATGCTCCTTATAGCCTGGCTAATGGAGGTGGTCAGTCTGTTTCAATACTTCGGAGCATAAAATGACTTAAACTTTGCCAGCCATTTTAAAGCCTCATAGTCCTGACAAACGCTGAGAAAGATTGTGTGCGATCATTTTATCTTGCAATCATAAATCTTGCAAGATTTATTCTCTGAAGACATACTATCATCTCCATTCACGCAAGTGTAGAAACCAAGAAAAAACAGAGTCCTAAGACAACTCTCAGTTGGAACATTTTACAATAAAATTGTGGAATTTCAGAAAAAGATTAATTTGAGGAATAATCAATGCCATGATAATACAGCCCTAATATTTAGGGTTCCTCAACATTCTCTCCTTTTTGTCCCTCTACCATAAATAAATCTCTGCTTGAATCTCTCAATTCAAGCAGATTCATGCTGTCATCCTGAACCAGACCAGCGATACAATCACCATCACCTTGGGCAGTTCTGA